CTCAGTGGCCAGCTGAAAATTTGATTTTGGACATGCTGAATTTGAGGAGCTTTGGAGAAGTCTGATTGGAGCTGCCTGGTAAGCAGTTGCCATATGTAGCTAAACTCAGGAAGGACATACAGATTTGGGAATCAAAAATATGCAGTGGGAGTGTAAGCCATGGGTGGGGATCCCCCAGGAGTTATGTATGGGGGTTTAAAAGGAGAGGTCAGGACAGAGCCCTTAAGAAAACACTTAGAGAAGGCCAAAGAGAAGAAAGGAAGAGTGAAGACAATGAATTAAGACAACTTGAGAATGGTCTTTGTTCTTCCTCATATTTTGAAAATCAGCTTGTTAAGTTCTGTGGAAGACCTTCTGGGATTTTTAATCATAATTTCATTGAATTTATGATTTTTTGGTAGAGATTCAACATCTTTATGATATTTTCCCACCCATGAACACAGTTTCCTCTCCTTTTATTTAGATATTTTATGTCTTTCAAAACAGTTAACAGTTTTCTTTGTAAAGGCCTCATTTATTGTTAATCAACAGGTAAATTATGACTTTGGTTTCTAAATGCAATATTTTAAAAAATTGTATTGTCTGATACCTTATTTCTGGTATAAGAGAATGTAATTGTAATTTGTCAAATCCTTTCAGTCTTCTATCATAATTCCTTACAAAGACAGTTTACTTCTTTTCTTCCATTCTTCACATCTTTTTCTTATCCTACTGTGTTGGCTAGGACTGTGTTAGTTAAGTTCTTGGCAGAACCAGACTTTACAGTGTGAGTATAAATGTTGAAAGTGGGCATTCTTTATCTTATTTCTGACTTTAAATGTAATGCTTCTAGTGTTTAATCAGTAAGAGCTGTGCAGGTGAAAGTTCTGGTCACCAATTCCAACGTGGGTGTGAGAGTGGGGTTGGGGTGTGGGGTGAAGGATGTTCTCACACCAACCAATGAGTCTCCAGGACCAGCCCGGTGTCCTACAATTCAGTTCACTTCTGAAGTGTCTACCTGGAGGTAGTCATATCCCACAGGTTAAGGGCTTAGTCCTACAAGACTGTCCGCCAACCCCAGACACCAGTGGCAAGATTGGAGGTTCCAATGATCTCTCCTTGGGTTCAATTGATTTGCTAGAGTGGCTCATAGAATTCAGAGAAACACTTTACTTACTAGATTACTGGTTGATTATGAAAAGATATAACTCAGAAATAGCCAGATGGAAGAGATGCATAGGGCAGGGTTGGGGGAAGGGCGTGGAACTTCTGTGACCTCAGCAAGTATGTACCAGTCGTTCCAAATCTCCATGTGTTCACCGGCTCACCAGCTCTCTGAACCCTCTCCTTTTTGGGTTTTTATGGCGGCTTCATTACATAGGCACAATTGATTAAATCACTGGCTATTGGCAATTAATTTAACCTCTAGTCCCTCTCCCTTCCCTGGATTTTTTGGGAGGGGAGCTGGTGGGGTGGGACTGAAGGTTCCAACCCTCTAATTACATGGTTGGTTCTCCTGGCCACCAGCCCTCATCCTTAGCTGTATTCCAAAAGTCACCACATTCACATAAGACACCTTTATCGCTCTCATCACTTGGCAATTCCAAGGGTTTTAGTAATTTAGGAGCTCTGTGCTAGAAACCAGGGCAAAGACCAAATACACATTTCTTATAAATCATAACATCACAGTGGGTTTGGGAAGATATATTCTGTCACATTAAGAAAGTTTGTTTTTTAGAGTTTGCTAAGCATTTTTGTTGTGACTGGGTCTTGAGTTTCATCAAATGCATCTTCCGATATTATAGTTCAGAAACATGGTTTTCCTTGCATGTGCATGCATGCACGAGTGGGTATTGCATGACCAGACTTAGTCATGATCATTGTTGTTATTGTTTTTATAGAGTTAATATTGTTTAGATTCACTTTTATTTTTATCACCACGTTGTTCACCTCTCTTCACGTGTGTAATGCCTTCTATTCCTAGAAGTTCCTTTTACAAAAATCCCTCCTGTCCTGTTTTTTTTTTTTTTTTCTTTTTTAGTGAGGGTGTGTTAGTAGTAAATTCTCTCCATCTTCATCTGAAAATGCCTTTATTTAATGTTCACTCTTGAGTGATATTTTGGTTGGGCTTTTAATTTTAGGTTAACAGTTATTTTTCTCTCAACAGTTTGGAGACGTAACCTTGGGTCTTCTAGTGCTACTGTTAGAAGTCCACTGTCCGTATATACAGTTAATGTCATAGTCCTTCCTTTGTAGGTAATTTGTCTTTTTTTTTACTCTTGATGCTTTTAAGATCTATTCTTTGTTTTTGGTATTCTGCAATGTCCTTACAATGCGTGTTGATTTTATTTGAATTTTTCCTCGTTAGGATTCAGTATGGTTCCTTAATTGGGGGATTCATGTATTTCATTATTTCTGGAAAATTTCCTTGCCATTATCTTTTCAAATGTTGTTCTACTTCATTTTCTGTATTCTGTCCTTCAGGAATGCTAATTGGAGGTATGTTGAACTGCCTTATTTTGTTCTCCTTGCTCTTTATCATTTAAAAAAAAATACATTTCTGAGTAATATCTTCAGATCTGTCCTCCAGGTTGTTAATTCTTTCTTTAGCTGTGTCTAATATGCTATTAATCTCAGTGAAACCGTTGGGTTTTAACTCCAGTGACTAAAATGTTCATTTCTAAATGTCCTGTTTGGTTCTTTTTCTAGTCTGCTTTGTGTTTTTTGATAGTGTCTAATTCTTTCTCATGTTTCCAATTCTTTGTTTAAGTTAATAATTATTTTAAATACCATTCTGTAATAGTTTTTATCTGATAGTTCAGTTATCTCTAGTTCTTGGGGCTCTAATCCTATTGAATCTTGATCACCGTAGATTGTTTCCTCTTTCTTATATGTTGCAACTTTGGATTTTGAGATCTTTTTTTAGCAAGGCTTTATCTTTAGGAATTCTCTGCAATATGGGTTAAGACTGTCAGAGATTTTTCAGCCATGGACCACTATTTATTTTTATGAATTGGCTGTGAATTCCTGAGTAATGTAAAATTCAAATTTCAAATCCACTTAAGGTCAAGGCAGGCCTTTGGTTACAAATATTTAGGAAAGACAGTTCTCTTCTCCTTTTTCTTTTCTTTCTTTTTTACCTAGGACTTAGGCCAAGACAAATAATCTTCCTGGTCATATTTTGTCAGTATTCTTCCTTTTATCTGAGGATTGAGGTATGGTTCCAAGTTCCAACCTCCCTGTATCTGTCAGGTCTAAGCTGTCATCTGAGTGGTCATTAAAACTCATTGGCTTCATTACTAAGGTCAACTTCTCCCCCCTTGCCTCCCAGGGCAATTGTAGTAATGGCTCATTTACTTCTTCCTTTAATTTAGAGTTCTTTCATTTTGGGCCTCTAGATGTTTCTTCTGAAGACAGCTGTACATTTAAAAGTATTATATTTGTTATATTTTATTTATCATTTCTAAATTTCTTTTAGAGAGTGAGAATTTTCAAGTCATCTACTTTACTGCCATTAAAGTTAAAGGTTGTTTTTTTTTAAGATTTTATTTATTTTAGAGAGAGAGAGATAGCAATAGTTCTCACCTCCAGGATGCTCTAAGACTTTCCCAGAGCATTCCTCACTTTCTTTTCCTTCTCCATACATGAAGCCCCAAATATCCCACAGTTCCTCACAAAGAGGTGGGTACGAGGGTGAGTATGGTCAACGTCCACAGTGAAGGAAAAGGAGGAGCTGAGTGAGGGGTGGGGGGGTACAACCTAGGAGGGACTAGAAGTTCCAAGGAACTTGGCCAAGCTGCAGGCACTTAGACTCCCAGCCCTGTGTTTGGGCTAGTGGCAAAGGGCAGGGTTGTGTTGTCAGCTTCTGGAGACACCAGCAAATCAACCGTGCTATAGCCCTGATATGTGACAATCTTCCAGGGCCAAAATCTTCCTTTGAAAAGAGCCCAAGCTGAGGATGGAATAGGAGAATGATGAACTGCGTTTTATTTTGTATCCCTTTTTTTTTTAATATAAAATTTTAATTGTAGTAAAAAACATAAGATTTATCATCTTAACCATTTTTGAGTGTGTTAGTTTGGTAGTGTTAAAAGTTATATTCATGTTGCTGTGCAACAGATCTCCAGAAATTTTTCATCTTGCAAAATTGAAACTGTATACTGATTAAACAACAACTCCCCACTTCCTCCCCCCCCAGCCCGTGGGAACCAGCATTTTACTTTCTGTCTATGATTTTGACTACTTTAGATACCTCTTATAAGTGGAATCATACAGCATTTGTCTTTCTGTGGTTGGCTTTTTTCACTCAGCATAATGTCCACAAGGTTCATCCACACTGTAAGGCTGTTCTTCTTTTTTAAGGCTGAATAATATTCCCTCTTGTGTATATACCACATTTGGTTTATCCATTCATCTGTCCATGGACACTTGGTCTGCTTCCACCTCTTGGTTATTGTTAATAAGGCTGCTATGAACATGGGTGTACAAATATCTCTTCAGGACCCTGCTTTCAGATTTTTTGGATATATACCCAGAAGTGGAATTGTTGGATCATATGGTAGTTTTCTGTTTAATTCTTTGAGGAACCTTCCGACTGTTTTCTGTAGTGGTTACTATTTTACATTTCTACCAATAGTGCACAATAATTTACATCCTTTTTGCCCCTTGTTGATTTGATGTCAGAACATCTGTTAGTCCTTGGTCCCTGTCTCCTACTTCTCAGCCCTGTCTTGGATTCTTAGAGCTATGCTCAGAGAGTGCCTAGGCCATTGTGCTCATTTGACAGGGTGGGAAGCTGGGGTCTACAGAGGGGAAATGACCTGCCCTAGATTCCAGGCCTCCTGATCCTCCCAGACCTTTCACGTCACTCTTTATCCTCTGGGTCCCTGGCCTGACACCACCTGTGCTATGGATGGCCAAGCAAGGAAGAGCAACTGATTCTAGGGCTTGGCATTCCCCGGGACGCCCTGGCCCACGGCCACATAGTTCTTCCTCCAATGCTGTGGTTTCTGCCCAAACAGGTCCAACGGGCGCTCCTCCAAGCGGAGCCTTGGAGGGCAAGGCCGGCACCATTACCTCCAACGAGTGGAGCCCTCCTAACTCCCCTGAGGGGAGCAACGTCTCTGGGGGCAGTCAGGCGTTGGACAAGCCCATTGACAATGACGCGGAGGGTGTGTGGAGTCCGGACATTGAGCAGAGCTTCCAGGAGGCCCTGGCCATCTACCCGCCTTGTGGCCGGCGCAAGATCATCCTGTCAGACGAGGGCAAGATGTACGGTAAGGAGCCTGTTGGGGTGGGGTGGCAGGCCCCTGCCCTCATGGTTCAGTTCTGGAAATAAGGCCCAGGCATGGGGTGGGCACAGCACCCTTGGGTTCTCCAAGTAATGGAAGTGGGAACGACCACGGGGGCATTTATCGGGTGGATGCTGCTTCCTTCTGTCCTGAGTTCCCAAGGGATGGGAAGGCATGTGAGGAGAAGCCTTTGAGAGGGTGAGAAGCTGTGGTAGTAGAAGACTTGGGAAAGGGAAGAACACCCCCCATCCCCCGAGAGCAGACTGGGAGAGTCCCATAAGCTGCCTTCCAGGCAAATGCCTCATCAGTTCCCTGCTCCCCACCCTTGGCTGTGAAGGGAGGTTAGGGAGGTGGTTACTGGCCTCATTCCCCTCATTTGCGCACACACTCAGTCGTGAGCCAGGCCGAGGTGGGGAAGCTCTGGCCCCTGCTCACAATATGGTGGGGGTAGGGGAGGTGAACACACGTAGAACGTGCTACAGGGCAGGTGTGGAGTGTCCCAGGAGAGAGTCCAGCAGAGTTCTGTAGACCTTCACTCAGGAAAGGTCCCCTCCAGCTCAGAGCCATCTGGAAAGGCTTGATCTTTGGGAGTGGCTGAGAATGGGGGAACATACAGAGATACTTTATGTCCAGTAGCCATGTGGGAAGAACAAAGCTGTCTGCCTGGGGCTGTGCTGACCTTTGGATGGAAGAGAGGGTGTGTGGGAAAAGTGGAACAAAACCAAAAACTGAATAGCTATTGGAAAGCCCCGGTCAGGCTTCCATTCCCGGGACCCCCCAGCTTGAAACACCGGGCTTGGGCAGGTACCGGGAGGGTTTCTGTAACTGGCGGGTGCTCCTGACAACAGAGGGCCCTGACCTGGCTCCCAACAAGATGGCTCCAGGCCACGTGCCCACCCCCAGGGGTTTCCATTCGGGTTCTCTCTCCTCCATGCAGCGCTGGTTCCCACTCAGCTCCCCAAGACAGAGACCTTGTCAGCTGTCTAAAGGGCGCTGTATGAGGGGCTCGTGGGGGCTGGCCGTATTCGTCTCCGAGGGCTGCTGTAGGAAATGACCACCAGTGGTGGCTTCACACGGCAGCAGTGTATTTTCTCACAGCTGAGAAGTCTGGAGTCAAGGTGTCTTTAAGGTTGGTGTCTTTTGGGGGCTCTGAGGGAGGGTCTGTTTCAGTCTCTCTCTTAGCTTCTGGTGGTTGCTCGCAAGCCGGGGCCTTCCTTGGCTTGTAGCTGCATCACTCCAATCTGTGACTCTGCTGTCACTCTCTTGTCACATGGCCATCTTCCCTATGTGTCCTCTCCTGTTCTTATAAGGATAGTAGTCACACCTAATCCAGCGTGACCTCATCTTAGTACAACTGTAAAGGTCCTATTTCCAAATAAGGACACATTCTGAGGTTCTGGGTGGACACTCTTCAACTTAGTTCAGCTAGACGGAGCACATGTTCAATTTGTTACCACCTTGGGGACCCACGGGGCTCTCACAGGCCCTGGCACTCATCCTTTACCTGCAGCCTTCCCTACAAGGCCACAGTGATTCCTCTCGTTCTTTTATTTGTTGGGGGAGCAAGGTCCGTGCTAGTTGGACCCTGGGTCTCATCCTCAGGCACCAGTTATAACTGTGCATCTCTCCTCACCAGCCCCATGGCTGTGGCTTTGCTGGGTCCGCACAGAGTCTCTCTGATTTCTGTGGGCCTCCGTGCCCTGGGTCGGCCCCCTATACTGCTCTTGCTCTAACCATTTCCTGCTCTGGTGTTTGCTTCTTACTTCTGGCCCCTATGGAAGCTTCGTGGAAGAGACTGCTGACATGTATGGAGCGCACCAGGTGTGGGATCAAGTGCTCTACATAGGTTATTCCCATGGAGCTGGAGAGGAATGGAGAACTGGTATCTTTGGTTCTTTCTACTACTTTGGTGGAGAGTGGGGTGGGTGTTGATGCAGAGCTGAGGTGTGAAGGTGAGAAGGGGTGGAGCGCAGGACAAACCTTGAGAGCTGTCCAGGTCTCTTGCTGGGAAGCCATGATGTGTCTTCAGGATACTGAAGGATACTTGGCAGGATATATCTTTGTGCTTGAAGGAACAGATTTTCTGGCAAACACATGTGGCCAGGGGGCATTCAGCAGGAGAGAGCTGAGGGTGCTGCAGGTATCTGGTGGGGGGGGTGGGGCATGGAGATGGCAGAACGTGGCAGAATCAGCAGACATTTATTGGAGTGCCACTGTGGACCGGACTTTGAATGCTGAGATGTCTCTTTTTGTGAGTGTGTGATAAAATACACAGTACATAAAATTTACCCTTTTCACCATTTTTAAGTGTACAGTTTGGGGGCATAAAGGACTATTCACGCTGTGGTGCAGCCACCAGCACCATCCTTCTCCAGAACTTCTTCATCTTCCTGAGGCTCCATACCCACTCGGCACTGACTCCTGTTGCCTCCTTCTCCTGGCCCCTGACCACCACCACTCTGTTTTCTGTCTCTGTGGACGTGACTACTCTAGGGACCTCATACAAGTGACATCAGACTGTCCGCCCTGTTGTGACGGCCTTAGTTCACTTAGCATCATGTCCTCAAGGGTCCTCCATGTTGTAGCCCAAGGCCGAACTTCCTTTTGCAGCCTGCATAACATTCCATGGTATGGCTAGACCACATTTTGTTTATCCATTCGCCTGGCGGTAGACATTTGGTGGGGGTTGCATAGTTTTATGTAGTTGTTATGGGTAGATATTTCTCTCCCCACTTCACATGTAAAGGAATTGGGTGAAGAGACTTTGTTGTCGGTCAGCAGACAATTGTGACTGAGTCCGTTTGGGCAGTGCAAGCCTGCAGACCTCTGGCAGGCCTTGGAGTGAACTTCTGTTTGGCCCAAGGGGAGCTGTTGAGTGGTGGGGGGAAGCACGATGAAAACGGTGTTTGGCAAACTGTCCTGGCCATATTGTTGTCCCGTTTGTGGCTCTCCTCCTGCGCAGAGAGACAGGGAGGGGTAAAGGGTGGGGGGATCACACAGGGGTGGACCTGGCAGGCGAGAATTCTACCACTGAACCACCAATGCTGACATCAGGGGTGGACCTGGGAGGAAGAGAGGGGAGGGGGGCCAGGGCCAGGAGCCTCTTAATTATGCCGAGGAAGACAGGAGTGGTCAGTGGCCTCTGACATCTTTATTTCTTGGATCTTTTCAAGGGAGGAGGGAGAAATTGTAACCGCTGGTTGCAGATGCAGAGATAGAAGCTCAGAGAAGCCAAGAGTTTCTCCCAGAGTCTCTCAGGTAGTAAGTGGGAGAGCAAAGGCTAGAAGCGGTTCCCCTGCCCCCAAGCACAGTGCTCCCCCATCACCCTGAATGGCCTTTGTGAAGCCTGCTGCCCCGCCTACACCTCTGCTCCCTGCCCCCGTCTCATGCTTGGCCCGGGCTCCAGGTGGGTCAGGCACAGGGCAGGGGCACTGGAGGCTGCTCCCCAGTGTCTGATGACTCACCCGGCCCCCACAGCACCTGTCCTCCGTGAGTACAGATCCTGCTGGGGTCCAGACGCTGGCTTATCCCCATCTCTTCTTACCAGGCGTGGGGGCTGAGCCAGGGCAGGACCGCTCACGGAGTTGGTGAAGGGGCCCTCGGCAGGGGCTGCCGTCCAGCTGGGAGGTATATATAGCTCTGAGCTCAGCCCCGTGTGTGGGATGGGACCCTGGGAGGTGGAGGAAGAGGGACAAGCTGCCAAGCTGACTCAGACCTCGTCTCGCTCCGGCTCCTCTCCTCCATCTTCTCATCTTCCCTTGGGGGACCCACTCTTGCCATCCTCCAGTGCCCCGGCCCCATCCTGGGCCCCTGAGAGCCAGGTCTGCACACACCCCACTTCCCGCGGTCAGAGGCCATCGGTTGTTTTCCAGGTGGGCCAGCCCAGTGAGACACAGGGCGGGAGCTGAGAACAAGCAGGCAAGAAGAGGCCTCAGACAGGGAGAAGAGCAGGCTGATCTAGGGTGCCCCGAGGAGGGGGAGTCTAGACCTAGAGACTCTTGAGGACAGAGATTCGGCCCGCTCCCAGCTCTGGCCCCAGCGCTGCCAGAGTGGGGCACTGTGAGGAGGGCCAGGCAGACATGAAGATAACATGCCGAGCTACAGGGCAGATTAGCGCCTGTTATTTCTGAGCTGAGCCTCCCACACTTGTGGATGGGCTCCCGGGGCCGGGGCTGCTAGCTGGCTTCTGCTCACGGCTGCCTTCATTTTTTTGCCCCGTCACTCTGTGACCCTCACCCTGGCACTGCCACACTGGTCACTCTGACCTCCTTTGGCCAGCCTGGCCGCTGGCCCTGTGGGCAGGTGGTGGGGAGGTGAGCGTGGGGCAACTTCTCACCCCCATCTGCCCGCACACTCTGTCTTTCCCTCCCCTCACAGCTCCGACTTGCCTTCTCTGTTCTGTCTGCAAGAGGGCTAGCTGGCTCTGTCTTCCTGTGCATCCATTCTTTCCTGCCCGCCATGCTCTTGAATCTCCCAGCTCTCCTGGTCTCTCTCCCCTCTCTCTGCTTCTCCTCTCCTTGCTTCCTCTGTTGTCTCCCTGGGTGCCCTGTGGCCCAGGCTTCTCGTTCCCACTAGCAATCCGGCAGCTCTTAAGCAAGCAAGGTCTCACTGTCCTGAGCCAGGCTGGGGCTGAGGGCTGTGGCCTCTGTTCTCCACGACTTCACGGGGCAGCAGAGGGACAGAAGAAACAACTTTAGAAAGTAAACTCATGACTTATGTTATATAGTGTCACCCAGAGGGCTAGGTTATCTTGGAAGTTTTCTGGAAGGAGGTGGAGCGTGAGCAGGGTAGAGGAGGGAGGTGCTCAGGGAAGGGGAAGAGAGTGAGCACTGGCCTAGAGGTGGGACTCTCTGTGGTGGTTTTGGTGGGCGATCTGGGCAGGTGCTGTGATGACGACTGTCAGAGCTGAAGGGACCCTGTTTTGGATGAGTCATGCAGCTCAGGAGAGGCAGAGTGGGGACTGGGCCCAGGTCACTGAGATGATGGGACAGCAGCCTGCAGCCTCATCTGAGCTTCTGCTCCCTGCCTCTGCCATGTTCCTTGGATCCTCCACTGCCCTTTGCTCTGTCGCCCTGTGGTTTCTGGATCCTGCCATGTCCCCCGTCTGGCTTACAACACTGACTTCATAC